GCGGGGGGGTGGGGGGCCCCCCCCCCTTCCACACACAGACCCCCGCGCCACGCCCCAGCTCACCGGGCCTCCCTGCAGCCGTGAAAAGGCTCAGCCCCGGCCGCCCCCGCCCTTTTATCTCCCCCCGGGAACCGGGCCCAGCTGGGGCTCAGCCCCCGCCCGGTGCCGGGCTCCGGTTCGCCTCCCCCGCCCCGGGCTGCGGCAGAGCCCTGGGGGCACGAACCCCCCCGGCCGGGAGATCCCCGGGGCAGATCCCAGCCCAGGACTGCCCCCGACTGCGGGCACCTTCTCGGGAGCTCTGCCCCGCTGCTCCCCGGGGCTGCTCCCACCCCGCGGGTGCCAATCGCTGTCCCCCCACGGGAAATTAAACGATCGTGGCTTTAAAACAACCACGGAGGGACTCGAACCCTCAATCTTCTGATCCGAAGTCAGACGCCTTATCCATTAGGCCACGTGGTCCCCCATAGCACTGCTCTGGGGACGGTGACCCACAGCGGGGGCGGGGGGGGTGTCCCCGGGGGTCCCTGCCACCCCCCGCGCACCCCCCACGCTCCCACCCCGCCTGGGATCGCTGCCGTCCCTCCCGGCCCAACGCTGGCGATGGGGGTGAGCGGGCGAGGGGTCCCCACCCCCATGGGACCCCACATGCCAGGAGGTCATCGCAGACCCCCCCAGACCTCCCCATCCAGCTGCCGGGGGTACGCGAGCCCAGGCCTTCCCCGCCACGGCCCCGCGGAAAGGCAAAGCCAAGACCATCCCGTCCAGCTGAGGCCGGGATGAGCCCTAAGCAGGAGGGAAGGCGCGTTTGCCTCCCAGGGTCGGGCACTGCTGGTGACGGAAGGACTGGGACAGCCGCGACCCTGGGGACAGCTCGTCCTTTCCCGTGACAGCCTTCGGTGTGGTGGGCGCAGTGTCAATGAGCCGCCGGTGACGGGCACCTGCTGTAACGTAGCACCACTACAGAGTAACACTGTGACGCAACGAGAACCACCGCAGGCCTGGTTAAGTTATCAAGTCATCCTGTTCGTTATCAGTAACGCCTCCTGCGTGCGCCTCCCGGTGCAGCTTTGCTTCTCCCCAAAACCTGCCTTTCTCATCTAATCCTAAAAAAGAGTTTCCTAAAGCCGGACACACGGCAGGAAGGTATCTTAACCTCTTCCGCGGCCACGGGAGGCTTTGGGGACATGGTGGTTCCTGGGGTACGTTCAGCTCAGCTTCAGCCCACGCATCTTTTCCGACGTGGCTGTCAAAGGAAAGCTGTGCAGACACGTGCTGGAGAGGCAGGGCTGCACGAGAGGCGCGCTCGTGCCCCACGGGTGTGCAAAGCTTCCCAGTACGGCGGGCAGCAGCAGCCGGCAGATGAACCGGAGCACGCAGAGGCTGCCCCAGCTCCATCCACCCCCGGCCGCCCCGAGCGCTCGCCAAGGCGTGGGGGGGACGGGGGGTGCAGGGTGTGAACCCCGGCGGTGTCGGAGGGGGAGAGGCCGGCGCGACGGGGCTGCGGGCAGGCAGCGCCACGCCAGATGCGTGGTGGGGACAGCACGGCCAGGCGGGTCGGGCGCCTGACTGCAGAGCGGGGCAAGGGTCTGAGCCCCCCATGGCTGAGTGTCCCTCGGTCCCAGGGTCTCACCCCAGGTGCAGGCAGGGCTCCTTGCTGCTGGCAGCGGTTGCCGGCTCTCGCATAGCACCGGGGGATTCGCAGCCCTGAGAAAGCCTCGCGTCACCGCAGCATTTCTCCCCGGGGCTGGTTTTTTCCCTCTCTGCACCCTGGTCGTCGCCCACCAGCCAGCAAAGACGCTCCCACTGCCTGGGACTTAGTGCTCCGGAGGCAGGAGAGGAGAGGAACAGCGGGAACAAAGCCTGGTGCCACCCGAGCGAGGCCATCGGTGATGGAAACCCCTCGGACCACGCAGCGAACCAGCCCAGCCCCTCGCGACGCTGCCACCAGGACATCCCAGCGGGACTGCGGGTACAGCGTCTCCAGGAGATGCAAAGAAAACGCTGCCCGAAGGAAGCCAAGTGATCATCTTGTTCCTGCAACAAAAACCCCCGAGAGCCACCTGACGCTATCCCAACTTGTAAGAAGGATGCAAAAAACGTGCTCTCACCATGCTTTCAACCGCAGCCCTGAAGGTGGTCACCCAAAGGGGTGGGAGTCAACTGGTCCCAGGTGATACCGGCCTGGAGACACCCCGTTGGCCCCTTCTCCCAGCTCCCAAAGCGGGCAGGGTTGCTGAGCGGCGCCGGGACCTGCGGCTTGGCTGGCTGGGGCTGCTGGGGGCTTCAGCAGGTTTGCTGCTTGCCAGGCAGCAGAGTCATTTCCTCCCACACTTTAAACAAAATTACTGACAAAGAAACTTACTTAGAAAAATTACTTAGAAAGAAGCTTCACTTTAGGTTTTACTGGTGTGGTATCACCCTGACCGCAGCTGCCTTTTAAAACCCATTAACTCCGCAGGAGAAGACCCTCCAAGCGGCTTTTTAATGCAAGGAACCTGAGAGGGCCTTGTCCCGGGGGGGACTCTGGTCCCAGGGCGGCAGACCCAAACGGCGCGGCCCCCCACCGCCAGCCCTCGCGGGGATGCGGTTTCTGGCGGAGGAGTAAAGCTTCCCTCCCGTTAGAGCCGGTCCCGTGCCAGGGGCAAGGGGGCCATCCCCCGGCACCCGTCAGCTTTGTGTTGGGGGCAGATGCAGCGGATGATACAGGGAGCACCCGGAGCGGGGGAAATGACCCAACACAGACCCAGCTCTGCCCAGATGAGGCTGAAAAACCAGCTTTACCTGCTCTGCTTTTGCACCTTCTGGGATACCTTGGAAGGTGCCCGTGCTCCAGGCGGATGGGGCAGAGCCAGCGATGGATGCGCTCTCCCCTCCAAAACCCATCCTTTCATTAACATCTCCCCAAAACCCATCCTTTCATTAACCGCTCCCAAGGCAAAAGCTGGCCGTTTTTCCCTCAGGAACGGCCTCACATGAGCACTCGGCACGCGGTACCCACCACCAGCTGGATGGAGCCTCCGCCTTTGCACCGAAGCCCGGGGCAGTTTGGAGCTGCTCCTCGTTGCTTCCCTTTTTCATCAGATCGAAATTGGGAGCGCTGGCCGGCAGCAGAGAACCACGTCGCCCAACGGCATCATACAGCCTGCGTACAGCGGCTGTTGGCGCGGTGAGCAAGCCCGGAGCTGCCGCGGGGATGTCGCTGCCCCAGAGCGCCCATCGTGGCCCCCCCCAGCCTCCCTCTCTGCCAGCTCCGGCCCCGGCGGCTGCGCCCACGTACACACGGGCAGCGGCGCTGGTTTATTTGCGCTTCTGGGTTCTCCCGTTGTGTTCGTGTCCTTCATTGACATCTGCAGCTGGGGATGGGAAACACCTTCCCACCCAGCAGCCAAAGCCAGCACCCAGCGGGTGGCAGCCAGAGGCCCGGCAGCACTAAAATGGGGAGAAGGGGCGGGAAAATGGAGTCGGCACTGGCAAAATTAGGGGGAGCCCACCCCAGATGGGACTCGAACCCACAATCCCTGGCTTAGGAGGCCAGTGCCTTATCCATTAGGCCACTGGGGCTGGGTGAAAAAGGCTTTTCCCCTGTGGGACCTCGTGCTGCAGGGTGCAAACGTGGTCACGCGTGTAACCCATGGGTGGGAACCACCCTGGGGCTCCAGAGGAAGGGGAAGCAGAGCTGGGCTGTACCAGGAGCGGCGGGGGCAGGGGGCCAAACCTGGGTTCGCTTTTCCCCCTATAAAGGGAAGGGGTGAGAAGGGAGGAGCGGGTGGAAAGCTGCAGCAGGTTTAAAAATGGGGTGGGGGAAAAAAAGGGCCGACCACGAAGGGACTCGAACCCTCAATCTTCTGATCCGAAGTCAGACGCCTTATCCATTAGGCCACGCGGTCACCGG